TGCAATCCCTATCAAAATACCATCGACTTTTTTCACAGAGCTGGAACAAATAATCCTAAAATTTGTATGGAACCAGAAAAGACCCCAAATAGCCAAAGGAATGTTGAAAAAAAAAACCAAAACTGGTGGTATCACAATTCCAGACTTCAAACTGGATTATAAAAGCTGTAATCAACAAGACAGTATGATACTGGCATAAAAACAGACACAGAGATCAATGGAACAGAATACAGAGCCCAGAAATGGACCCTCAACTCTATGGTCTACTAATCTTTGACAAAGCAGGAAAGAATGTCCAATGGAAAAAAGACAGTCTCTTCAATAAATGGTGCTGGAAAAATTAGAGAGCCATATGCGGAAGAATGAAACTGGACCATTCTCTCACATCATATACAAAGATAGACTCAAAATGGATAAAGACCTCAATGTGAGACAGGAATCCATCAAAATCCTAGTGGAGAACACAGGCAGCAAACTCTCTGACCTCAGCCACAGCAACTTCTGGCTAGATAGGTCTCCAAAGGCAAGGGAAACAAGGGCAAAAATGAACCACTGGGACTTCATCAAGATAAAAAACTTTTGCACGGCAAAGGAAACAGTCAAGAAAAACAAAAGACAACTGACAGGTGCCTGGGTGGCTCAGTCACTAAGCATCTGCCTTCGGCTCAGGTCATGATTCCAGGGTCCAGGGATCGAGCCCCAAATCAGGCTCCCTGCTCGGCGGGAAGCCTGCTTCCCCCCTCTCCCACTCCCCCTGCTTGTGTTCCCTCTCTCACTGTGTCTCTCTCTGTCAAATAAAAAAAGAAAATCTTTAAAAAAAAAAAAAAAAGACAACTGACAGAATGGGAGAAGCTATCTGCAAATGTCTCATCAGATAAAGGGCTAGTATCCAAAATCTATGAAGAACTTATCAAACTCAACACCCAAAAAATAAATAATCCAGTTAAGAAATGGGCATTTCTCCAAAGAAGACACACAAATGGCCAACAGACACATGAAAAAGTGCTCAACAACACTTGGCATCAGGGAAATCCAAATCAAAACCTCAATGAGATACCACCTCACACCAGTCAGAATG